TTAGGATTCAGACGACATTCATTAAACGGATACATTGAATATAAACCGTTCATATCATTCGTATCATTCATATCATTCAATTATAGTACTAAAGAACATTGAGAGCCATGCGTTTGATCCAAACTATAGGGGTTTTATCATTGTTTTCATCTCTAGCTTTCGCGGTGCTCTTTGAAGATGCATTCGTCAAGGACTGGATTAAGCATTCTTACGGAGAAATACAGCGGTACGAAATCTTGTCAGACAAAGAGCTTATAGGATTAACAAATGAGGAGGAAATATTGAATATGGATCTCAGTAATGGTGGTTCGTTGAATTGGAAAGCAGATTTGCGTGGGTTTGGTAATATAAATCGATACTTTTTATCAAAAAATAGGAAATTGGTATATGCGTATTCCACCACCGACAACCGTATTTACTTGTTTGACTCCACAACAGGTATTTTACAGGAAACCCTAGTTAGTGAAACTGTGCCATTGAAATTGGTTGAATTTTTTGGCGTAGGAGTTTTAACAGTGGGGACGGACGGGCTGTTGACATTCTTAGGGAACGATGGAGTGGTGAAGCCAATTAGTACCGATGCCAAAATTAGGGATATCAGAGTTTCGCAGGCAGATGGCACATTTTATGCCATAACAGATGATTTACTGCTAATTGCAATTGCAAGATCGTTGGATGTGTTACCTACGTCGAAACCATTTACGAAGTACATTTCTAACATTAACCAAGTGAAGACATTTCAAGATAATATTATCGTGACGGAAGACAACAAGATATTATCTATAGACGATGATGGTGTGAACGAGGTAAAGAGTACATTGAAACCGAAACAGCATATTCGAGTATTGAGTCTCGAATTGGCCTATTCTATTGATTCTAAAGTAATTCACTTCTACTCCATTGTTGATGGAAAATTTGAATCTCTCGTCGATTATTCATTTGAAGACGAGATTTCAGAAATTGATTTTATAAACTATGCATCTTCCGAATCTGTACTTCTTGCTACTGAATCTGATGTTATTCTCCTTGACGTATCTGGATTATCACTTGGTGGCGACGTTAATGCTATTCAGAAATATCACTTTCAATCCAATAGCTCAATTCAAACTGGACAGAATTATATCACATATGACAAGGGATCTAATTTGCAGTTAATCTCCAGCCGTTTATTCGATTTTAAGGTCGATGTGACTATTTGTGTGACAAGCACCAAATCTGTTACACACTTCTCGTTCGATTTGAATAGATTTCATCCAACCTCGTCAAAGTATTTGATGATTGATAGACCACGATCAGAAGGTGAAATAAACAAGGTACACCATTTGCTCCATGATTCTGATGACTACCGTTTCTTCATTTCCCGCTGGCTTGCTATACTTAGGAGGCATTTGTCTCAGTTGGGCAGGTTAATTATTTCAAAAATTACAACCTCGTCTACTTCTCATGATGAATATGCTCCTGAGGATACATTTGGGTTTGGTAAGTTAATTATTTTTATGGACGAGCTGCAGGGATACGTTATTGCAGTTGATTCTGAAAAGGGTTCCGTTGCATGGAAATGCAAAGTCGAAGTTAAGGAACAGAACGTGATAGATTTTGTCGATAGACCTGCAACGAATGAGGTTGTTCTTATCTTAAAACATTCATTGTTATCACTCGATATTAGAAATGGAAAAATCACGAATACAAAAATGTTCAAAGAAGAAATACTGAAAAGTTTCTTACTAAGATTAGAAAACGACGAAGAAGTCATTGCTTTGAAGCTTGCTAACAGTCATGAATTACAATTATTTAAAGACAGTGAAGTCGGTATCAAAACAGATCAATATTTGATCGATCAAACTGATGATTCTGTACAGGGTTATAAAATTGATGACAAAGATATGATTCCAACATGGAAATTTGAAAAGCCGGATGAGAGAGTAATCTTAGTAAAGACCAAACCAATGCATACCAAGACTTCATCAATTGGCATAACTCTATCCGACAAATCTGTCTTGTATAAATACTTGAATCCAAATTTGATCTCCATCATTACAGAGGACTCGCAGACAAAAATTTTACGCTATTATTTAATAGATAGCGTCAGTGGAAGCGTGTTGTATACTCACGATCACAGTAAGAATGAGGTTGTTGATTCTGATTCCATTCAATTATGCATGGATGATAACTGGATCGTATACACATTTTTTATTAAGTCTCCAAAACTAGAACAAAGAGTTATCGTATTTGATTTATTTGATACTATGGAAAAATCAGTTAATAAAAACATCATTTCTGCTTTTGAGAGTAATACAACAATCAATTTTATTTCAAAAAAATCGTTCATTTTCCCTGAGAGGATAGTATCACTTGCTTCTACCCAAACAAAATTTGGTATTACATTAAAATCTATGTTGTTCTTAACAGAATCAGGAAGTTTAATTGAAATTCCGAAGTTTATTTTAAACAGCAGAAGAATTGCTAACCGGGAATTGACCAGTAAGGACTTTCAAGATGACTTTAGAATGATGCCATACGAACCGGTGGTTCCTAAGAATAACTTCCAGGTATTGAATCATAAGCATCAATTATTCTTAGATTCCAATACTGATCAAATATTAATGAAGCCTACTGAATTAGAATCGACTTCGGTAGTGTGTTTCGTTAACAAGTTCAACATTTTCTGCAATGTAATTCAACCTTCATTATCTTATGATTTGTTGAGCGAAAATTTTGATAGAATTAAATTGATCTTAACAATCTTAGCCTTACTAGCTGCGTACTTAATTACAAAACCGTTTGTCTTTTCCAGAAGATTAAATGCCCATTGGATAGATCGATAATTTGTATATTATATATATAATATTATAAAAAATACATATACATCATTAAGTATTATTTGAATATTGAACATTCGTTCGAAAGATAATCTATGATTTCTTTAGAATTAACATTCTTCTCATCCAACCCAAACTTTAACCAATTAATTTCATTTCCCGTGTCGTCGTCTTCCGAATTGTCTTCGCTCTTCGAATCCTGATATATGTACCATACCATTTCATAGTTTAAACTTGAAACCAAATAATTTTGCATCTTGCTAATAAGAAAAAAAGAATCAGATGCATTTAAAATAGCCCGTGGCTTCTCTTTAAAAAGAATATCGTACTTTTCGATGATTTTTCGTAATCTACCATTCAAACTTAACCAAGCCTTATTATTATTGAGGGATAGTATTCCATATGCCTTTTGAAAGTTTCTCTTTAAGACTTCATAATCTTCAAGCTTATTCAATATCGGACATGAATGAATTCTTAACATTATTAATGTTGTTAATTCAATAATAAATTTGTAATGCACTGGGAGCTGATTAAAATTTCTTAAATCCACAAATTCTTTCGAAAACAAATCCAAAATAAGGTAACATGATTTGATAGCCTTCAAAATGCAATGGCGATATTCAGCAATGGAAATATCCATACGACTAAAAGAATAAACAAATAACTGTAATTTCAGGAATTCAACAGATAGCTTTATAAGATTGTTCGACAATAATGGACTAGTATCTTTATTAAAGTCATTCAATATTATTTCAAACATATTCAAATTTATTAGCTTATCAGAATTTGCATGCGCGTACATCTTCTTGTCGTTAAGGATATCATTCATATTCTCATTCAACTTTAATTGTACTAAAGAAATTTTCAATAATGAGTTGATATACTTGTCTTCCTCATTATCAATATTATTGTTGAATAAATCTTGATTCGCCTTATTAATAATATAATCTTGCTGAAAACCATTGTAATTAAGATGCGATAAACCAGTGTAAATTAAACAATAATTTGAGTTAATATTAATGAATTTGTAAATTCTATCTCTTATTAAATTGTTCAATTTCAATTCATTAGAAACATTAATTTCAGTTTTATGACTGAACTCATCAATAAACTGCGACCTGTGTAAACCTAACTGTAACGATATGTTTTTCATTAGCGAAAGGTATTTAATCGATATGTTGTCTCCATTATTCAGATATTTTTCCGAGGGTAAAGGCCATGTAGTTAAAATTAATAACGACGATAGTATATATACCGATCTTGGGGTATTAAACCAACATTTTGCAACCACTAATGACTTGATGTGATTACATAAATGTAAGTATTTGGATGCTTCTGGCTGGTTCAAATATGACGTGAGTATGATACTCCAAAACAATAAGTCATTCTGTTCGTAAAACCTATCTATATTAATAGTATCGAAGAACCCTTCGGGAAATATCGGCAAATATTTATTGAAATGCAAATGATAGTTATGGAAACTTTCAACGGCTTCCTCGTGTGAAATAGAGAATGCTTTGGTGCTGATATGGCTATTGATAGTGTATGAGGTGTCTAACTTAGGTGATTCTGGAGTCAAAGGCATCGGGGTTTCCACAGGAGAGTTAAGACATGCTTCGATCTTAGAAATTGGAGGAGTCATACCTGTCAGCTTTCTAACATTCAAAATACCTTTCTCAACAAGCATATTTATCATCTTGAACTTTCTGTTGATTAAGGTATCTAAACTTTTCTTTAAAGATCTAACATCAACACTCAATTTGTGCACCACGTCATTTGACCTATTCGGATCTTTGGTTATTATATCTAATGTACAATTTATATTCTTCTTGAAACAATGTGAACATGGTAACGGGTCAGTTATTGAAGCATCACATTTAGTCTTATGCTGTCTGCATCGTACACAAGTTCTGAGTATCTTACCAGGTATATTAGATGGTGTAATAAGCTTTAAACGCTTTCTTTGTTGCACATACATTTCAACAAAGGTATATAATGGGTTAGCTAAAACAAAAAGCTAAAATAGTGAAATCTTTATATTAAATAACTTTACCTAGATTAGTATGGTGTTATCTAAAGTCTGTGAGCTTTGTAATAAATATTTCTTCATTGGCTGGAGATGTGCCGAAATTCGGTCTAATCAGAAAAACTAATTTTGAAAGGTCAATATTTCCAATCAGCATGGACAAATTAACAAACAATCAAATAAGTTCGATTCACTTACTAAATTTGAGTCATTCGGTACCTCTAAATCCGTTGGCTAAGGTATACAAGGATACGTTTGCAGAGTTTACTCAAGATAAATGCATTAATTTGCCGGCAAATTATATGGAAGATACCTTCTGCGATAAGTGTGAAAGCATTTATATCCCAGGAATCACTGTATCCATAAGGATAATCTATAACAGAAAGAGAAGAAGCGCTGTAAATAGACGTAGATTGTTAAGATATACCTGTCTTGAATGTGACCATAGATCAGATCGTGAATTGGAGATACCTACGTCAAAGCAGTCTACTCCGATACCGAATATCGGTGATACAGAAGGAAATGATAAAACGAAACCTGAAGAATTCAAGGCTACATGGCCAAAGGCGGACACATCAAAGTCTAAGCAAAGACTAAAGAAGCGGAAGCAGAACAATTTATCGAATTTGTTAGCATTAAAGAAAAAGGAGAAAGAAAATGAATCCAAGCAATTTAACTCGCTAAGTTTAATGGAATTTATGAATAAATGATTACAGCTTATAGCATACTATAATAGATAATCGCTGTATACCGAACCTGAATTGCTTTGATTTATGTCTTTGATTGAGCTTTGTCTTTTACAAGTTCTAACCCAACGTCTTCTTCTGAAGAACTCAGGGGTGGTCAACGATTCTAGATCGTAAACCCACTTCTCATCGGTGTCGATCATGACAAGATCTGCGAGTAAATTGGAATTAACCCAATCATTGACATTTAAATCTAATTTCCAGGACTCTTCATTGAATTCCCAATCTATCGGCGGCTTTATGGCATTAATATGTGGTACGGCATTGATATCAACATTTTCAGATTTCTCACCATCTTCGTCGTCATCATTTCTATCATTATTTTTACCCTTCAAATACTCTTGCTTTAGTTTTCGCATAGGACTATTTATAGTATAGAAGTCATTAGTAAATCCATTTAATTCCCAAATTTTACTAGTTTTGTCATATCTTTGTAGTTCGAAGATCTCTACTTGTTTCGTTTCAATTTTAACTTGTTCTTCATCCACTCTCACAATCCAATTTAATAAAAATTCTTCTATCTGGTTGTCCAAGTTAACAAAATATAATCGTGTTTCCTCATTATAGATCCAGTTCAATAGTCTATTTCGTACAACAGGATGAAACAATATCACAACTGCCCAAATGGAGATAACAAGCATAAATCTAATAGGCAAATACCAGAACAAAATAGGCACAATCTTTGGTAGGACGAATAAATTATGTAAACCCAAAATTAATAAACCCAAATATACCACAGAACTGATATTTTCGTCCTTGTAAAATAAAAATTCTTTAGTTGCCCATAGTATAAGGTCATAAGTTACCACGTAAAGAAGCATATGATTCTGCAAGTCAGTCAAGTTCAAAATAAATTCGTTTGAAAATTCGGGTACTGGCTTCGGTATTTCAGACTCACGTAAAGCTGGCCCATCATCAGGTATAGGATTTCGCTGAAAATACCTCGAATTTAGCACAGATCTGTCCGTTGGATGAAGTATTAGATAATGTGGGACCATTATATTGATTAAAATTAGCAACAATGGCAAAACGAGTATTAAATATGGATTTAGAATTATATGGGTTATTACCAATAGTATACCCACTGTAAACGACAGATTATCCCAATTGAAAAATTTAATAACACTATCGATGGTTTCAAACGGAACAGATAACCTCAGGTTCAATAAAATAGAATTTTTCGATATTAAGTTCACAGATAATGGAGGACGAGTCTTTTGCATTTCTAATCTCTCATTTAATGCACCCTGATCTTTAACATTCATTGGAATAATCATAGAGATGATCTTTTCCATTAGTTTATCAGTAAGCAAGGTATTAGTAGACTTATGTTCGTCATTTCCTTCCTTCTTATGAGTCCAGAATGCAAAATCACTTTCCGACTTACGCTTCAGTTTATCTGACATAGGGTTAGATTGATTTAATTCATTCAGTGTAGTCTTTCTCTTAGCACCAGACTCCTTCTCATTGGCTTCTACTGTTAGTATGTTTTCGAAAAAGTTAGACACTTGATCCATCTAATATTTTTGGTGTTAATTGGAAAGCAATAATATTTGGCATATGATAGTGCTAAATTTACGTTTTAATTTAAATTTGCGATTATTTTAGTATGCATCATTAATTTTAAAATACATAATAATATACACGTAATACACAACCTATTGGTATAATTAGCTAGATATAGAGCCCTCTAGTTTGATATGTTGTTTGCTTCCCAGACATATTGAATGCTGTACGGATTCCAATGCTTGTGAATTTTCTTGCTTTATATGTGACGGTATCGAGGTCTCTTTCTTAATGGTTTGCTTTATAGGTTCCTTTTTAGCTCGCCGTATAGACTCCTTCCTCACAATTTCCTTTTTAACTCGCCTTATAGGTTCCTTCTTCACACATACTTTTGTAGACGTTTTCTTAATTTGGGATTTTAAGTTTTGTTCTTTCTTTATTTGGGCTTTGGTTAATGGAGGTGACATCAAGTTTTGATTTAATTTCTTTGAATCCAACTGTTCTTGAGTAAGGAAAAGATCCGGAATTTCATATTTCAATAATTTCACAAACTCATCACAGTCACATAGAATTTCGTAGTCTATAATGTTGCTCCACATAGCTTGTGATATAGGAGTCTTGTTCACGAAAAGGACCGTCCCACCTCTATTGTGTACCGATTGTGCCAAAGTCTTCACCAATCTCTTAATCCCGTCGACTTTTAAGGATGTACCCATAATAATAAACAAATCCGGCTTTAAATTTACATCCTTATTTAACCCGCTGGCAAGTATTTCTGATTGTGGATGATTTTCTCCATACAATACAATATTAGGCCTCAACATGCCAATATTACCTGTTAAACGCTTGCCCAGGTACAATCTTTCTTGATATTTTAAATAGCAATTCTTACACTCGGGATTGGATCCGTTCGAGAATTGCTCTCTGTATTCCACATTCCAGTTAAAACTATGGAAACACTGGGTACATGCTAGGTTATTGATATTTCCGTGCAACTGAACCACATCCAAGTCTTGCCACGTCTTATTAAACGGTCCATTGCAATCAAATTCACTTAAGTTGATCCCCATTTTCAAATTCATCTTATCCTCCAAACCATCAATATTCTGGGTGTAACAGCGGAGCAATTTCTTTTTCTCTTTCAATATCTTAATAAACCTATGTGTTTCAGTGGGTTTTGCGTCAATGCTGGACAGGTACAAGGACTCCATGAATGTACAAAACAACGAAAGTGTCACCTCATCTCTGAAAATCGATATATCGAACAAGTCCTGACCCTTCACTATTTTCTTAGGAAACTTACTTTTCACCATATTGTACAACCCATCGCTTGATCTAAAGTCGGGAATTCCAGCATTGCACGATATCCCTGCTCCCGTCAATACCACCGTTTTCTTTGATTTAAAAATTATCTTGGAGACTTCACTTAATTTAATTTGCTCATTACTAGGTATTTCCCCTGATAAGTCTATCGTTTTCATATTATTCTATTGGATTTATGTCAATATATACATGAAATACTCTTTATTCCTCCGTTATCCTTACTTAAACAATATATTCACTTTTTGTATTCATTTATCTCACCCAAGTGCCCATTTAACGAAAATTGATCTTAAATTACAACGCCAATTGTACGCTCGCATTTTAACTAAGAAGAGAAATTTATTTACATTTTGTACGAAAAGGGATGAACACGAATTGGATATATTATTATAATAATTTCAACATAATGAAGTGTATAGAATTAATTAGTTTGACTGTTAACAGCTAATTCCATGATTAGCCTAGTAGCTAAATGCAAGAACGGATAGGCTGAGAACGAACACATTTCATCTACGTCTTGTTTTATAGGTACGTCCTTATTGGAAGAGTTCTCCCATCCATCGAACTTGAAGTCCACCAAATAATTGTTTGGCTCCAATTGGAATAACTGGATTTGCATTTTCATCATGTCAGGAATGTTTTTCTGTTCTTCTTCTTGATTTTGATCGTTTGGTAAGATACATGGGCCGTACTTCCATCTGACTCTGATGGTCCATAACTCTTCCTCGGTTGGTTTAGACCACTCTGCGCCCAAGTTCTTCAAGGCTCTGTAGATTTCACCCATAACATCCAATGGATAAGACCTAGATCTTATACCGAAATGCCACCTTGTTTTCAGCTTCTTGTGCGATACGGGCGCTATTTTCAGCTGGGTGTCCATGTTGGATTCCATCATGTACGCTCTGTGGATTGATGGCAACGAAGAAGGTAAAATGGCAATGGTAGAGTTGGGTAGCGTAGATAAGTCTGGCACTGCAGCTAATGTTTGATATGTTAATGATTGTTGCACACCAGGCGCCTTGGTGGAGTGGTTGACATTTATATTCATGTTGCTGTTATTATTGGCATTGTTGGTCCAAGAAGGAGGCGGCGATTGAGATAAGAAAGTGTCCATATTATTCAGTTTGGAGTCCTTCAAGTCCTTCACCAATGTGCGATTCTCTCTCATTAACAAGTAAGCATCAATTATTTCGTTAGATTGTTGTTGTGGTGCGTTATGTTGGTTACATTTATTGATAACATTAACAATTTCATCCCTGTCATAACCCATAGTTGACTGCAAAGCAGTAATAACGTCCTCGTCGACCTCGATTTTCTTGTGTTTTGTCTTCGATAAATCTGGAGGTAATAAGTACTCTTCAATATTTTGTTTGAACCATTCATCTTCGATAATCTCGTGCATGGTGATTCTGTTTAATGGGTTGACGACCAACATCCTCGTTAATATATCTTTAGCTCCTTGGGATAAGTAATTAGGTAATGTGTAAACACCGTTACTAATTTTTTTGAACAACGCAGGAATGAACTCGTCATCGAAAGGTAACCTCCCACACAACATGACGTATAAAATAACCCCCGATGACCAAACGTCAACTTCTGGGCCAGCGTATAATTTACCACTTATAACCTCGGGAGCGGCGTAATTGGGCGACCCACAACTCGTTTTCAAGAAGTTACCATCTGTCATAATGTTAGATAACCCAAAATCCGCAATCTTGACGTTCAATTGTTCATCCAATAATAAGTTTTCCGGCTTCAAATCTCTATGAACAATCTTGTGTCTGTGGCAGTATTCTACGGCAGCTATAATCTGTTGGAAGAATCTTCTGGCCTCATCTTCTGGCATCTTACCCCTCTGCACAATATAATCAAACAACTCCTTACCCGCATACTCAATAACCATAATAATCTCATCCTTCGACTTAATCACATCGTATAACTTGATGATATGTGGATGTCTTAACAATCTTAAATATGAAATTTCTCGTTCAACTCTACCTTGCATATCGGACTTAGCTAACGTTTTACGATTAATGATCTTCAATGCAACCTTCTGTCCTGTGATTGTGTGTTGCGCTAATTTAACTTTACCAAATGACCCTTCTCCTAACGTCTTGAGGACTTGATATTTCCCTATTCTGTTTGCTTGGTTAGCCTTCGGATCTATTGGTTGGGGTTGATGGACCTTATTGTTGTGGCCATCGTGTTGTCCATTATGGTTACCATGATGACTGTTGTGATGATGATGATGGCGATGGTGGTGGTGATTATCACTTCCTTGTTGCTCTGACATGTCTTATTTGCTGTTTTATAAGCTTCAATGCCGCTATGCTGTATCTAATCTTGTGTTTTTAGGGGCGATCGTTGGTTTGAGGGTGAAAATCGGTAAACGCACGTGTTTTTGATGACTGGATTTCATGACAACTGATTATAGATTCATGATATACTAGTTATATTACAGGTGAATAGAATAGTTTATTGGCCTTATATGATAGGGAGCACACGGACGGTTATTTCAAAGAACAAAAATATTTGTAAACGTAGTCTGGTCAAGCAAAAACGAGTTCAAAATATACGAGTGAACAGCACGAAGAAAGCAAGATTATATATAAATTGAAGTAGAACTTAATGACATAAAGAGATACAATTGAGTTCTCAATAGATCGAAGCAGAAACTGGCATGTTGGGTTCGCCCATCATGGGATTTTTGATGCCCGATATCACCTATCTTTTCCTTTTGTCGTATTCCCGATTATCAGACCGCTTGTACGATCGATCCTGTCTGTCATCTCTATATCCGGTGTTTTTCGAGGCCCTTATATCCCGTGGATCCTTGTCCTTATCATCTCGCGTATTTCTGTATTCGTGACTTCTATTTTGGCCTAAGGTTTTCTTCCTGTCACTACGCCCTTTATCGCCATTTGTTTCTGCATCCATAGCAGTATTTTGTCCAGTGCCACTTCTGTTATAGTTTGTCTTCTGTTTTTCTACCTTACCATTGTCTTCGCCTGCCTCGTACTCTTTCCGTCTTTGTTCTAGAAGCTGCTTCGGTATGCCATCAGGATCATCTTGTGCACTCATCAACAAGTCCCACAACGTCTCACAGAACTTCATGGCCTGTTCCTGACCTAAAAAGTCCTGCATTTGCAAATGAATCATCTTGATATCCGGCTCGTCTTCTGCTTGCAACAATTCGCTCACGTAGTCAATTACCACATCGTCGTCCGGCAATTGCTCATTCAAAGTGTCGCCAATCCATTTTTCCACCACTGCAAAATTCACCTTCCCCATATTTACTTTCTTGGAGAATTTCTTCGGGTACTTCACCCCAGCTTTATCTTTCTTATTCTTGTTACTCACAAACTCATCGTCTACTCTTTGGATTCTGTACGACATCTGATTCAACATCAAGCAATTTCTTACAACATGTAAACTTAAACACTCCAAATATAGTGCCTATAACACCTAGATTGCCAATTTATTAGTCTATTGGTCAATATCCACAAGTACTAAGTAGTATATATGAACGATCCATACTGATAGATCATGTTTACAGGTTAGATCAGATGAGTGATGTTTGCAGGTTACATCTGTTGCAAAACTCAGACATTTAAGATCCCACTTAAGAACGCTGGCGTCAAATATGAAGCAGAACTTATTCTTTATGAATTAACAGAGATAAAGAAGTGAAATGTACAGTGATAGTAGAGATAGCGTATTTGAATGGGATTCTGATGTTTTTTCAGACAAGTTCCCAGGGAATTCTGATGTTTCTTCTCAGGGAACATTATCCACACCCTCGACGGGAAACCAATATTGTACGCCTAGATCGCTTTCAGTAGTGGAATCGTTTAGTTACGATAATCGAATGTTACAACCAGAAGTTATTCCCCGAACAAGTATTTGGTCCACGTCGTTCAGGAGTAATAGTGAGTCGCTCATGCCATTTGATCCATTGATGGTTAGTGGAGAAGAGCAGAGAACAGGGGAAGAGGAGTATGTGTATAAAATACCACCCCGGCTTGTTTTTCGAAGTTTCAGGGGTCGTCAGTTCACAGTTGAAGACAATGCCAGATTTTTTGTGATCAAGTCATACAGTGGGGTGGACGTGGATGCGTCGATTGCCAACAACATCTGGGCGTCAACCAACTTAGGAAATAAGAGGCTTAATAGGGCGTTTGACGAGGTTCGGGCTGTTCAGGGCAAAATATTCCTCTTCTTCCTGGTCAATTGCTCTGGCCGCTTCTGTGGGGTTGTAGAAATGAAGAACAACATTGATTTTACTCGCACGAGCGACGTATGGGTCGAAAAGTCCCGTTGGAAGGGCGTGTTCCCGGTCGAGTGGCTAATGATTAAGGATGTTCCAAACAGACACTTTCAACATCTAAAGAACCCTCTCAACGAGTCAAAATCTGTCACAAACTCCAGGGATACCCAAGAGTTGCCATTTGATATTGGTGTTTCTATGTTAAAAATATTTAGCTCGTTTAAATAAATTGTGTTTTTCGGATTTGCTACTGTATGCAAGAAAATATTTAATTTAGTATCAAAAATCACCTTACATGATTATTTCTCCTTTTCACTGATTACTTTGACCCGGAAATGATATCACTGGCTATAAGATCACACCCATTGAGGTCACTGGTGCGTCCTTTATCATCGGCTGCCAGGGTATTTCAACATGATAAACAACTCAAGAAAAAATCCCTGAAGAAATCCCGTAAGGATGTGGAATACGGCAAGTTATCAAAGGCACAGAAAGCGTTCCTTGATCGTATTATTCGTGTAGATCAAGCAGGAGAGTTGGGAGCAAATTATATTTATTACGGCCAATTCACGGTATTGGCCAGTAAATACCCACACTTAAGACCGGTGTTACAGCATATGTGGGATCAAGAAATTCACCATCATAATACATTCAATAAATTACAAACAGAACGTCGTGTAAGACCTTCTTTATTAACACCATTATGGAAAGTAGGTTCTTTTGGTATTGGTGTTAGTACCGCACTCATCAGCAAGGAAGCTGCGATGGCGTGTACTGTAGCAGTGGAAACTGTCATTGGAGGCCATTACAACCAACAATTGAGAGTGTTGATGAATCAATATAACATACCAGCTTACGATAAGGCTACCGGTGAAATTTTACCAGAGGAAAGCTTAGATAGGGGCGCACGATGTTCCCCTGAATTGACCGACTTGAAAGATCTTATTAGTACTTTTAGAGATGAGGAATTAGAGCATTTAGACACTGCCATAGAACATGACGCAGAAAAGGCTGTTCCCTATATCTTATTAACCGAAGCTATCAAGTTGGTTTGTAGGGGAGCTATTTGGACGGCTGAAAGAGTATAACGAGCTACACTGAGCCATAGAATCGATATATTTTGCCATTATCGACTTTTAAGTATATATTTATCTAATCAATATGACTACTTGACATATTATTGCTGATTTTCCGTAGTAATGATCGTTTATTCCAGTGGTATTCTATATACGTTGTTTTGTAACAGTTGATTTTGACCCAAACTCGCGCACGTAAAATCAAAACAAAAAAAGAGTTACTTAAATCAAGTATCAACACATTATAGTTAGATAATTAAAGTCATGTCACGCCCTAGCTCCATTTATAGACCGGGTAATTCATCTTTAAATAGTCGTCGGATTCATCATGTTATTCCTCAGGATCTGTTTCCATTGTTGGATTTCAAGGAAATATCAATTTGTTTACAAAGTTGTGATTTCATAGCAAATGAAGAATTAGTATCAAGACCGACAAGTCAGTATATCAAAACATTATTAGAACAGTTTCTCGATTCGTTCATGGGTCTCTCTGCTGATAATATTAATGGAATGGTCAGAAATGTAAACAGGAATGACTTATCTATGACGAAAACGCAGGATGCTCAAATGGAAGAAGAACCAGAAAATGGAGAATCACGAATAGAAGACGATGATGATATAACGTCGAGCGTACGTTTAATATTGCTACACAGAGGTGCATATGAGTTTTTTCTGATATGTGGTGTCAACGATTTTACGTTAATGGACATAATGAGGCCTGAACCCCAGAGAATAAGGAGAATATTGAGTGCCGTTGTAAATTATGCAAGATTTAGGGAGGAGAATTCGGTAGAATGTGAGAAGCTTGTCAGCATAAGTGAAGGTAACCTAGAGAAATTGAAGGGTGTACAAAATGAGAACAGTAGACTTTCAAATCAAATAAACGACTTAAAGTACAAAATTGAAGCCAATGAGACGGATGAGGGTAATAAAAAGGCAACATTGAAGCAAATAAATACTTATAACTCAAAATTGGAAAATGAATTAAAAAAGTTGAAAAAGAATCAGGAAATATTAACATTGGAGCATTCTAAATACAAGGACGAAAAGAGAAGATTGATCGAGAAATTAGAGGATCATAATTACTTAATAATGGAATCGAATAAAGAATTAGATAAATTAAAAAGTTATCTCCTATCTAATCCTGAAATCGTTACCAAGATCATTGAGGATTTAAAGACAAATTTAAGCGAATATCAAATCAATTTGGCCGACTTAGAATCGAAGAATAAAAATATGACCATAAGCATTGAATCATTTCAATTAGTAGAACAAGAATTAAAAAATCTATTTAGAATTTTGGAAGAAGTATTGAATGATTTAACTAAGGAAGAAACTTCCTTAGATAAATTGAACAAGTACCAAGAATTTAAAGAACAACAAAACTTGACTTTAAACGACTTGAACAGACAAATCCAACAAGTAACGAGACAACTCAATAATACGGAGGAAAAAATTAAAAGGTTAAGACATCAATCAAGCGAGAGGAGTGAAGCCAGTAAACAGAAGCTAATTTCTTTAAAAGACGGTTACGATACTTTGGTTAAAGAGCGTAAAGTTAAAGAACAAGAGTTAAATAAGAAAAAAGACTTTATAAGTGAATTGGAAACTAAGATGAATGGAGAGAGAAGTAATTTTCAAATAGAGCTAAGAAACGCTGAATTGGCTGTTGCTAAATTGAATTCTCATGTTAAACTCTATTTAACAGAAATGAATAAAAAAGTAGATTGAATGTTGTGTATTAACATGTATATTAGCATGTACTATAATTATGTATTTTAATATTATTTATTACCTTCTATCGAGGGGGGAAGCTGGTTACCAGCAGTATCAGCATTTGTAGAATTTTGATCACCTATTAATGCTTCATCATCACTTTCATCCCCAGCCTTCTTTACATTTTCATGCCTTGGGATTTTCTTATTGGTCGTAAATAACGACACAATAAACCCGGCACATGAAAATGCAAGTCCCAAATAGAAAACATTTTTTAGTGCTCTCATAAACTGATCTAAAACCATTTCCTTTGCGGAATTTGGCAAACTTTGAATAAGAGATGGGGTTGAAATCAATGTCTTCACTGGAACTTTTTTTAGAGCTTCGTATTCCGTAGAATCTTTTTCTAGTCTATTTAATAAACTATTAATGTATGAAGTGCCAGTTGCCTGATAAATTAATTGAGCTAACGTAACAGCCACAGTGGCACCCATAGACTTGAGGAAATTCAAAAAGATTGTAGTTAAAATTAAAGAACCTTCAACATCTGGAGGTGCTTCTAGTTGGGCCGCGAGTAATGAACTTTGAAATTGAAGTCCTACAGAGATACCAGATATAATTAATAAACCTATTCTATCCCTGGCTGGTGAATCCTTTTCCAACAACAATAGCAAACCACAACCAATTGGTCCGAGAGTAGTTGATATCAACATTGTAACTTTAACATACCTCGTGAACCGCATGAAAATTCCATTCGCAATTGACGATAGTGAAACCGAAATAACCATTGGTAATAAGTCTACACCTGATTGCCACGGTGAAGCATTAAATATGACTTGGAAATAGATGGCAAGATAGGTCAAGTTTGCCATGAAAAATGCAAAATTGAAGGTTGCACTCCACGAAGCTGCAAATATTTGCGGAATAATAACAACCTCTTTAATTATGATTGGCTTCTTGGATATCTTAAAGTTATATATGCAAAATGCTATGATTAATAGTCCTCCTAAGACGAAAAGAAGTATTATAGCAGCCGAATTCCATGAGAAATCAACACCGCCAAACGTCAAACCTAATAATACCAAAACTAACCCACTAGTTAAGAGAAAGACGCCCAAATAGTCAATTCTTGAGAGCTTTTCTTTCAAATTACCTTTGGGTTTCGGTGGATGAAAACATACAATCAATAATATAATGGCAAATCCACCCACTGGTAAGTTCACATAAAAGCACCACCTCCATGTAACATGAGTTGCAAAAGCACCTCCAATGAAAGGTCCAATTACACTAGCAAGCGAGAAGCAAACACCTATCAAAATGAATGCAAGCGCTCTACG